TATATATATATATATATATATATATATATATATATATATATCTCTGCTTTAATTGTTAGATATAGGATGGATGCACCTACCAATAAAAACTGCAACAAAGTCACTATTTTGACATTTAATGTACTAAAAGTAAATAATCTATTGTCACATTTTTACACACTTTTTTGATGTTGTGTGCATTTGTCAAACTTTACCATTCCAAGTTATTTTAAGGAGAAAATTTTATATATTTTTTTTCTTTAATTTGTGGAAAATCTAGGTCTGTCAAACCAGCATTACCAGTAATATTTTATTTTATTTTATTTTCATATTTAATCAATAGAAAATAACAGTTACAGGATTACATTTTTTTTCCCTTCTTGTTATTAAACATTTTTAATAACAAAATTTTAGTAACCGGGTTGGAAAAAATTGTAAACCTCCATTTACAGAAAATGAATAGAAAATAAACAGCTCAAATTATATTTAATTTTTTGTTGTATATTTTTGTTACCATTTTCTGACAGTTAAGCACCTCCTTTCACTGACTAATTGTTGAAAAAGAAAATAAATAATTACATCATTTACATCATTTTAACGTTGTAGACCCTATTCATGGAAAGTGCCTTGTACTGACAGATTTGTTTTTGCTCCGCCCTCTTTCTGACACATTCTTGATGCTAATTGCACATTAAATGAGTGTATCGTGTGTTTTCGTATACAAACTTTCATTTCTTTGCCAGATGTAGCCTTTTACATGCACTCGTATGCACCAGCTGGTCCATCCACAGATGACAAACTCTTGGCGGTCAGAGTGGAAACCTACTCAACCTCAGGCCGAGACTTTAATAAAGCTAATTAGCGGAGCCTAAACGTCACCTTCAAATATTATCCTCAATAAACCAGAACAGTCCTCTTTCACACAGTCCCAGTCTGAAGAGACCTTGGATGCCAGACTCTTTGCTGTATTTTTTATACCAGCACTGCAGCAGGTTTCTAATGAGGAAAAAGGTTTTTTAATCACTTTTCATGCCTGGTTAGTTTTGTAACCATATTTTGGATACATTCAAGCTCTCTTTGAATGTCCTCTGCATTCAGACGTGGTTTGTACACATTTATGTGCTTGTAGTCATGGTGTAAATGACTGTGTGCCTGTGTCCTCACCTCGTAAAGCCTGCACTGTGTTTGTGTTTTCACAGCAGTATTTTTGCAGCAGGAAGACACCTGTGTCCTTTTAGAGGACTTTTATGAAAGAAACATTAAAGCTGACTCCTTTAATTGTCCAGGGGAATTAACTGATTTACTTTTCATTTGAGGAGGCCCTTGACCCGGCACTTTAGACGGCTGTAATGTCACTAATTATTTTGATGACTTCAGCATGATTGTGTTTCCATGTGTCCCTGTAATGAGAGCGTATCCTGTTGTGATGTCATGGGGGAGTTTATGCAGAGCCTGCAGGCGTGAGTCGAGTGTCTGAGATCTCGAAACAGCCCACAGACACACACATACATACCCATGACAGTGGTCTGACCGCTGACAGTTTGTCTATGGAGGGCTGAAGAACATTTTATTTGTATTTATTTTTTTCATTTTTTTTTTCATTTCATTTCATTTTTTATTTTATTTATTTATTTTAAATTATTATTATTATTTTTTTTCATTATTTAATTAAAAAAAAATTATCATCTTTATTATTATCATCTCAATTGATGAATTCATTTTAATTTATGAATGTATTATTATTTTAATTTATAATTATATTATTTTACATTTTGAAAAATCCAGACTTTGTTGTGGTTGTGCCCCCTGAGACTCTATGTTTGACCCCTACAGGCTCAGTCTGTTGCGGTTGAGGCTCAGGCAAATGCAGGACTGTCGGAGCGCATTGCCACACTCGAGCAGGAGGTGGCGCGTTACAAGGAGGATGCTGGGAAGGCACAGGCCGAGGTGGACCGGCTCCTGGAAATCCTCCGAGAGATGGAGAATGAGAAGAACGACAAGGATCGCAAGATCAGCGAGCTGGAGAGGTACACAAACACACACGTTTATTCTTAATGAAGACATACTGTAGACTTCTTTTATGTAGTTACTATTGACAAATCTAAACCCTTTAAACATAATTTATTTAATTTGTGAATGCGTTTTCCTACTGAAGATGTCTGCAAAGAAAGGTTCTGTCCGAATTAGGTCACTTTCGGGGATAAAACCCCCAAGTGACTGGATACTTGCAACCTCTTACTCTGTTTGTGTCTATTTTACCTTGTTTGTTGCTACGCATGTGATCTTCAGTTCCATGTTCAGTTTATCTTTTATTTAGCCCAATATTTTTACATTTTTCATTTATGCAACTTCCACAATTTATTTTCCGTTCTCCATCTGCCATGAAGCTTTTTTATTACCGTGTTTCCACTGCAGGATTCACGATTGCCTGCTGAAATAAAGGCAACAATACCAGCCTTTCTACAGTGCCAGTAAAAATTTCTCTTGTACGGAGTATTGCAACAACCCTAGTGTACATGTACCTATTTCTATATCGCTACTAACAGATCAGCCACCACTTCAGTCCAAAATAGTGCACTTGTTTCTTTGGTTTGTATCTGAGTCCACAAGACCGTGGAGTGTCCCATTTGTCATTGTATAGTTCAATTGGGTGCACATAAGTGGCCAGTATGTCTCCTCAACAGTTTTAGTTTTGGAGAACCGCTTAGGGCTAAAAGAACTGTTTGGGGTAAGAACGAAGATGATGGTGCCTTCTGTTTGTGTTCTTTGATGGCTGCCGTTCTCACCCACTCAGTCATCTCTTATCCTCCATTTATTTTGGTGTTAGACCAGAAATGAGTTGTGTAACTTTGGAGGGCAACTTCAGCGCTTATCCCAAAGCGTTATGGGATGCTGGCATTGTCATTGAGCATGTCTGGTTGATTCATTGCAAGCATAGATTTAGTTGTAATCTCCAACACATTGCTCTAATCCCAAAGTATGTTCTGTGTCCATAGACGTGGAGAATTGAGTTTCAAAGAGCACCACCTTTATAGATTGCGCACCTTCAACTGCGTGTCTGCTCCTCCCAGAGCATTTTTCTGGATATTTTGCACTTTATGTCCATGGTGTAAACGCCTATGTTTTCGGCCTGTTTAATTGGACTAATTATTGGAAGGCAAATATAGACCTTCTCCCATCTTGGCTTTCATAAATAAATAAAGGAGATGAATAATTGAAATAGGGCTTGAGTGTAAACAGATGAGAATGTGAGGGAGAGTCTGGCCTGGTGGTGAAGAGTCGTAGAGGTCACGGATGTTGATGTTGTGCATTGACAGTCGTGTACTACTCCTTTTCACCCTTCGTCAGGCCCTTCAAAGCTGCGGTTGGAGCCCTGACAGGGACATTTATTTGCTCGAAGGCCGTTGATTTCTGTTGATTCATAAATATTCATCTGACTTGCATTGAATGTCTCACACTTTCTTAACAGAGCTGTGTTAGGAGAGGATTAGGCTAAAACAAACTCCATATGCTTGGCTCGATGCATCATTCATGTCAACCGAGAGAAGATTTCTGAAATAAACACCAGCCACAATCGTTAACCGTGGCGCTCCGAGCTAATTACCGCTCCGAGTCGAGTTATGTTCTCGAAACACACCAGGGAGTTCGGTTCTCAAAAACCTCCAATTGTTCTCTCTGTGTTGTAGTTTTCCAGCACTCTGGAGTTTGATTCTTGATGTGGTTGTGTGACGGAGAGTTATTCAGACAGATCCTCTTCTGTTAGCGCCTGCGTCTTTAATCAAGACGTGAGTGGCAGGTAGAAGCGATACGTTGTGTTCAGAGTGAGTCAGGATTACCTTTCTCACTCGGAGATGGAGAAGCCAAAGCTCCTCTTGTTGCAGATCAGTGGTGCGGAGGCAGGCCTTGTTCGAAAATGCCTTCAAAGTCACAGAAAAATGGCAGACGTTGAATTGAGGCATTGGGGTATTTATTTCATGCATTCAGCAGTGGTAAATTTGCAGGTAATTATTGAGGATTGTAAGGCTCACTGTTTGAGAGGGAGCTAAAAGGGTGAGCTAGAATAGATTTGTGGCAAAGAAATAGAGGTAAAACAAATAAAAAAAGCACAACAGAAGCACTATTTGTACGGATAGTGAAGCTGAGTCTCTATATAAATTTCCTTTGAGTTTTGGGTAAGAAACAGTCCATGCTAGTATGAAAATGTAAAATTTACTATAAATGTAACATTAATTCAGCACATTTTTATTATTTTAATGTCGAAACATAAGCAGTACAGTACAGAACAGAATGTCTAGAGTGTCACCCAACATAGTATCTTTCTTAATAAAATAAATATTACTACTACTACTACTACTACTAATAATAATAATAATCTCAAAAAACGCATTTAAATACAGTGGGACGCAAGTTAAGGATCTGTACGTCTCCTCAGTAGTGCAGTGTTGCCATAGCAACCCAACCCTCACTGCAGAGGGGACGTGAGCCCTGAAATGGAATTCGCCTTCACACAAACACACAGTACGAGAAGACGTGATCTGCCACACCAGCTAACTTATCTGTAGTTTTGTAGAAATGTAACCAACCATTTTTGAACTCAGGAAACATGAGTGTGCGGTTATGTGTGCATCGACTTAATATACATCTGCTAATATTCAACTCTTACTCTCTGTCAACTTCCTGTTGAGACCTCTCCCTTTCCACTCCTTCCATTATACAATTAGTGGGCAATGTTTAGAAAGAAGGCTTTATCGATCTGGACAATCAGTTGTCTGCCTCATTGTGTACACTCTGTCTCCTTCAATCCCACTACTTGAAACACCAGCACTCAAGGACACAAATTAGGACACAAATGAAAATTAGGAGATATTCAAAATCGATTTTAGGGTGAATTAACAAAGAACAAATTAATCCCTAATAGCTGAATTCATTTGCTGTCTGTTTTTATACAACAGTTCGTTCTGGTTCTCAAATCTGATTGGTTGAGAACCGTGAGATATTGTACTGGTATCGCTACAGGAACGCCCTTTCACAATTTTGTATCACTCCGCTTGTTCTAGCCGGGTCTATGTTTTTTTTTTTATTATTCACTGAGCTAATTGTTGAGTACGTTAGTTAATATAAGAAGAAACGTCTAGCTTTACGGTCTCTCTCTCTCTCATTTGGATGCATGTCTTGCCGCATTGTTTCTCTCTTATAACCTCATTATTTCTCACTAATAACCTAACTGAAGCAGCACATGCCCTTGATACGAATTCTAAAAGTGACGTATGTTTAACTGTCAACTTGAGCTTTGAAGGAAGTAGTTCCGCACAAAAGAGGGTTTTATTAGGCACTCCTTTGTTTCTTGTTTAATTACACATATGTTCCGTCAAACTGTTGTATTAACGCAATATCACTCGAGTACGAGAGTGATACCGGCCCTATATCAGCGGCTGTGATTGCCTCCGGCACTGCATATATATACATACGTG